TACAACCACAACATCAACATCAACATCATCATCATCAACAACAACAATTACAACATCAACTTCAACAACATCGTCATCATCATCATCAACTACAACAACATCAACTACAACAACATCGTCGTCATCATCAACAACTACAACCACAACATCAACAACTACAACCACAACATCAACAACAACATCATCATCATCAACAACAACAACAACAACAACAACAACAACAACAACTACAACACCAACAACAACTACTACAACCACAACAACAACTACAACCACAACATCAACAACAACCACAACAACAACTACAACAACAACTACAACCACAACAACAACTACTACAACCACAACAACAATAACAACTACAACAACATCAACATCAACAACAACTACAACAACAACAAGTAGTAAGCAACAGTTCAGATGAAGAATGCTTTCTATAACCCATCGAGACAGAATCAATTTTAGAAAATCTACGAAACTATTTTTGAGATTATAAAGTATCGTAAATCAAAATAATTCAGAAAATTTCAACTGACAGGAGTTTTTAAGACGAAGAAATCATCTCTTCTCTCAGATATACTAAATTCGTTCAAGGAAACTTCTGTCAGAACACAGTAATTGTTTTTTCTAAGTAATTTCTTTTCATCAGTGAGCAACATTTACGAGAAAGAAATACTTTTCTGTCGCATAGCATTGCGTGATTAAATTTTCACAGATTGCCAAACCGATTTTTGTTATATCTATAAAGATCATATATATTACCTGGAAACTTTTTGTTTTTTGAATTATAACTATTTAGTAAAATACGATGCAATCGATAATATGTACATAGTGGAAAGTCTTTTGATACATAAATTTGAGAGATTCTATTGATTCTTTACAACCAATCCAGTTTTTATGTACAATCAAACTTGCTATAGTTCTTTAAACTCTTAGAATGCAAGTGTTTTTCTTTCCTCGCATAGACTATTTTCGACTACATTTAATTTTAATAGACAATAAAAATTGAAAAAATAACTGAATTGCGTACTTTTAGCTACTGCTTATAAAAATGGCTGTAACGCACTAAATACTACTGGTTTGGTTGCCTGTTATTCATTCGATTTTGGTTCTACATTTGACAATGGTCCAAATCATCTTAATGGAACTCTAGTTGGCAATGTGACTACTGTTAGTGGCCACCTTAATCAAGCTTTGTTGTTTAATTCAAATGCTTCATATTTCTATACTGGTGGTCTAGTTGCTTTAGGAACATCTAATCAATCTTTTTCTTTCTCATTCTGGATGAAACCTATATCAGTCACTGGTGGTACTATCGTTCATATATCGGTTGGACCAAATGGTTACAGTAACGGGACAACAATTTGGTGTGTAGCATTTATCGGATTTCACTCTAGTGGTAAACTTATTGCTCAAGTATATAACTCTGCTACAGTTGCTGTTATTGGACCCACTATTAATTTGAACGTATGGACACATGTAGTAGAAACATACAGCACTACAAACGGAGTGACTTTATACATTAACGGAACATTGTTTGGATCAACAGGTGCCACAAGTTATACAGCTAGTGGTGTAACAGATTATATACACCTTGCTTATTATGGAACGCAAGGGAGTCCATGCGCGGCTGGTAACATTAATCCGGGACAGTTTATGGGAGCTATTGATGAGTTTAGAGTTTATAATCGTGAGCTTACTTCATTGGATGTCAGTGCACTTGCCAATCAATAAGTTTTCTCATTATCGTCTTATATTATTTGCATATGTACTTTGGTTATGATATTCAAACACAGAATAACAGGATTTTCGATTATTAACACATTATAATATATTTCTGCTGTCGTGCATTATGTTCTTTTCTATTACTTATTTTCTTTATTCGCTTATTTGTATGCTTAAATATACAATTTTAATGCGTGATATATAAATAAAGCAAGAAACACGTCATCAACTCAGAGTGTGAGTGTGCGTATTTCTCTCATTCATTATTTGCATCCACACTCACTTCTTCAACACATTTTACATTCAACCGGCGTCAATCGATCGAGAAAACATTCGGTTGTAACTATCTTGGAGGATGTCAGGTGAATATTATACTCACCACTATCCTCACCCTCATCATTGCTGATCTTACAATCACATAAAAACATTAACTTTCATGTTTTGTTTGTAAGGTTAAGTTCTAAAAAAACGACAACAAGAGTTCATTCCTGTCTAATGAGAGAATCTCTTTAGATTATAAAAAGATTTCGATATGAGATTTCTATCAGTAGATGGGCTGCCTCAAGACTTGAAAGGGGTGTAGATGTAAATGAGGATAGAGGAGAAACTACATCCATACCCACGCGCTTAATTTGAAATAGGCCATAATTTTAGTAAGGTCTTATAAATCTTTATCCGTAAATATCGAAATAATTAATCTCAAATTTAGCTGCAGAATCATCAGCTAATTCTGGCTTAGAATAATTAACAGTTGTCTAAGGAATATGTTCAGCTTTGCATGTTGCGAAAAAAAGAAGATTTTTATTTGAGAAAACAGTGCAAATTGTATCCACAAGGTATGAAGGTAGAATGAACGAAATACCCACATCCATTCCTCGCTGTGGCTTCAAGTTTCATCGAACTCTTTAGTTCAAGCTCTTCTACATTCATAGTGAAATTAATCACAATTAGCACAACTGTTTTCATGCTACAAGCTGAGTTCGTGACATTTGATTCAATAAAAAAATTCAAGATTTCTTTTAAAACTTGCAGCTTTTATTTTTTTTACTGCTAGAAGTTAGTCTAAACTTGAAAAAAAAATATATAAGTATTTTTAAGACATATCTTTATTGAGCACCCAGTCTGTCTAAGTAAGATCAGATGAGTTTTTGCGAATTGAAAATAATACTACCAACATGTGATGTTATGGGTGCATGTAAATTACTTCGATTTTCAATCAAGTTTTTCACAAATGTTAGTGGATTTGATTTGAATCGAGCCTGGATAATTTGTAAATAAAGCCGATGTTGTAGATCACTGACAAATCCGTCAATAGCAATCCAGCCTTTTTCAAAGGCTTCTTCTTCTTTTTTTGCTCGAGGCTTAGAACATAAACCTAAACATTCACAATAGGCTTTTTGCTCGTCTTCTGTTTTGAAATAAAGAGTTCCATTAAAGATGAATAATTGAACTAACCATTCTAGTGATATGTTATAATGAATAGTTTCATCAGGGTGTCTAATTGATGCAGGAATCATAAGAGTAGGAGTATTGACAAAAATTGATTGAATTCGCTTAGTACGAGGTAACAATAAACGTAATGTGGTGATCGATGATTGACTAGATTTCAAACGATCTATCAACCAATTGGCTTCAAAAGCACTAATAAAAATAATATGTTCATTTCGATAGACAATAATCCATCGTGGAGGACGTAAGAAGGGATTTAATGATTCTTCTTTGGTTAGAATTACTCTTTGGAATTCAGTGGAAACCCATAAATTCTTGTGCCAAATGTCTGGTTGACAATCAATGGAAAATGTAGTGTTCGTGAAGGCGTACGGTAAGGGCTGGAATACATTACGTAGTTGGTTTAGTTCTAATATATTATCATGTGTATTACATAACTGTTTGATTTCCTTATGCAGTATAGGATTGCAAGGCTTAGTAGGCGACGGACGGGCAAATTGCCGCTCTTCTTCTAATTCATGTTCTAATTCTCGTTGCTGTTCATCATCTAATAACTGTGTTAGACGTTGTTTCGTTCCACCATAATTTATCAATCGTTCTAATACGGCATGATAAATCTTTATTGATAAATCATAATCAAACGGTTGGTATCGAACAAGATAAATATCATCGATCGTACACAGTTCTTTACGTGCACCATACATATGTTTTAATTCAGTTACTTCTGGTTCTAAACATTCTGTAGCTAACTCTTTCATTATCGTACTTGTGAACTCTTGTTGCTGATTTCGCCAATTAATTTTTCCAAAAGCTTTCACTTTTCTTTGAAAGTTTAAACTTTGTGCAGCCCAATGATGTAATCCTTCCCAAGTTGAATTCACAGTATTTTGATATACCCAAAGTAGAATATCCTTTACAGTAACTACATCGTGTTTTTCTTTCCACGATTGATCTTTCAATGTTATAATCTGTTGATGAACTTCTTTCGAACTCCAAAATGTTAATGCATGCCCATTTCCTAATTCTCTCATTCTCATACATGCCTGAACAAATCGATCTTTTGTTAAATCATTTCCTAATGTTACAGCTGCTCTAAATCCATTCGGAAATTTAAAATCAGTTCCTCTCGTATGAATCTCATCTAAATAAAATACACAATGATCTAATCGTTCGCTTGCAGGAGACGTTTCAAATCGATGATGATGAAATTGACGATCACAAACAACAATTGCATCTGAATCAAAATAAACGGCATAATCAATATTGTCTTTGTTAGAAAGCATCAACCATTTAACAGCAATATCTCGATTGCTTCCGTCGACAAACAATGATCCAACATCTAAAATGACATTAATATTTTCTTTATAACCTACAATTCGTTTTAAAATATTGTCGGAAGTAGCATTAATTCGCAAAGATTGATAACTTTCATTTTCTGTTTGTACTAAGTTGTTAACAACAATGGCATCTGTTTTTTGCAGTTCAGGTAAATCGTGTTGGCGAATATCAATAGGTAATAATAATCGTGTATCATTGGTACCACTAAATCCAGTTATAATTTTCGACCGTAACGATGAAGACAAATCCCAAGCAGATGATACGATTTTATTAGGAAATTGTTTTGCTTCTCGAAGAAATACAAAATGATTGAGAAAATAATTAACTACCAACATATTATATCGTAAAATTGGAAAGAGATGATGAGTTTTTTGTTGATAATCTTGTAAATTAACTCCTTTCCATTGTTTAATACTTGTATGTACCTCATCTTGACCTTCATATTGAATCCATTGTTCGTAAATAGTTGCAGGATCACTTTCTTTTTCATTTAATCGATTGAAGCATTGAATCAATTGTGAGTCGGTTAAACCGGAATAGTAATAAGAGAGTTGTGTTAATACTAAAGCAATATCAGGATGTCCAAATTCAGTTCTATCAGCTGCGACATCCTTTGCACGAAAAGGTACAGCCATTAAACGATTAAACGAAGGATCTGGAGTAATACCATAATTAACCCGATATCGCTTTTTCAAAGCAACTAGCAAAACTTCTGATAATAACAAACCACGAATGATGAGAAACAGTTGAACATCATAATGTGGAAATTTATCTATTAGATCATCAATCGATGAATTTGATTTTAATATAAACGATAAAATAATCTGTCTCTCTGTATGTCGATAATTTCTGTTCTCAATCCAATCATTAGCTATAGTTTCACATAATAGTGAAAATGGAGGATGTGATCGTAAACGAAATTCTGGAAATGCACTTTTTCGCGGTGATGGTTTATAACAGATTTCTTTACTAAAATGATCTGAAATAGTAGCAGCATGTTTTTTGACTAATTCAAGTATTGATTGAATAGTTTTCCATCGTTCCGCTCCTCCATCAACTTGTTGCTGATCACCAACAGTATAAATCAACTGATATTTAACATGTAAAATTTCATCAGATTCATCTAATACATCTCGTACAAATGTTCTTAACCATCGTTGAACTATTAACATTGAACGACTAATATCAAATTCATTTCGTCTACATTTATCTATAGTAAGTAAATCAAAGGAGAGAATATCTTCTGGTGATGTCAATATCACATCACAATTACGTAATCCTTGCTTAAGACGATCTGAGATCTGATTTATTTGTTTATTATTAAAATTCATATCACGACGGCATGCGAATGGAAATATACGTCGATTTAATAAACCACCTAATTTACATCGTAATGATTGATGATTCGTTGGAAACAATGACTTAAGCACAACGATTCGAACTAAACTAGTATTAGTTGACGATAAACTAACAGCCAACATTGGCAAAATAACTGATGTTTTTCCTTCACCCATATTCATTTGCATCACTATATTTTTTACCGCTGAGCCATTTGTGGTCTCATTTAATTGCATCATGTGATGTGCTACTTTTATTTGAATATCTCGGATGATTATATTCATTTCCAATTCCAAGATTAACCAATGTACATGCTCGGATGGTGTCCAATTTGAATGAGGTATATTCGATAATTCCTTTTCAAAGTCGTCATTTTTGTTATTGATCACAAAATACAAGGCTTTTTCCATTTGTTGTTCTAATATCCAATTAACAAGAGTTCCGCCTAGTAGTGTGCATTGTTCTTTGCTTAAATCAAATGCCAAAGAATTTATAGAATGTGAGTTTTTTTGTTGGAGGCTAGAGATGAGAATTGTCGGTATAATTCGTGATGCTACGCCTGTTGTGAATAACAATTCATTGGATACTATAATGGATTTAACTAATTCATTCCAGAACTGTGTAGACTCTTGTCGGACAGAATTGAGAAATTTGTTGATTTCTTCAATTGAAGGATCTTCTTTTTGTATTTGTTCATCTAATAAAAATTTATCCCAACTTTTAGCTAATTGATTTTTGAAATAGTTGTCAATTTTACTAAGAGGATTGTCTTGACTGTCGATAAAGGGAAAAATTTGATTTGGAAATTCCTTTTGTCGATCGGTAGTTTTCAAAGATATATTTTGTTTGTTGAAATGGCCTGAATAAGGTTTATGAAACTTTTGTTCTGCTTTTGATAATAGTTCTTCATCAATTGAACTTGAGATAATATTGAACTGTATTTGGTGATGATCTTTCGATAGTTCATGTGTAAACTGTTGAGGATTATATGATACTTTCGCTTGGAATGGTTGTATGGGAACTGCACAAATACAATTCTGAACGCTGTTTAAAAAAGATTGAAGATTTTTATTAGATCGCCATGATCTCAGTAATGAGTTGATTCGATTTATTTCAGTAGACGTGAACAGGTTATTGTTATCTTGATAAAAACAATTTGTTTTGTAGCATCCCTCGATTTCTGCTGAGATTTGATTTTTTACTATTTTCGTATGTGCTCTTGTAAAGATAATACGGTTTTTCACAACTGAAATTTCTTCGATATTTTGATATTCACCAAATGGTGGAAACATTAGTGTTCTGAATGAAATGCTTGGTACTTTTAACACTGTTTTTAGCATTTGTAAATAAAATGGCTGAGTCTTACTGTTTCTGGAAATATAACGAAGGAAATTTAATAATTTTACGAAACGTTCAGCTTTATCTGTGTTGCCTTCGATCATTTGATCTTTGCAGTAATCAGCCAATTTTAACAAGCCAACCCAAATATTTTTTAGCTGATTTTCATCAGTTAGCCATTGCGACAGCGGTAGCCAATGTTGGTTTGAATAGTCTTTAAGATTTATATTTCCTTTACTATATAAATCCTTTACGAGATAAGCAACAGGATAATTAGCCTTATGTGAATAATATCCTAGCGTCGAATGATGCGGTTTTGATGAAATAGTACGCAATATTTCATTCTCCATGTCTGTTGATAATCTGGCCATGGGATTATATGAGTCTCGATAGTCCCAGTACAGTTTTTTTAATAATATTTCATTGTATAGTTTTCCTTCGAATATTTTTGGTATTTCATTAGAAATCGATGATGAATACATAAAATCTAGTTGTTGAGTAGCTTCTATCAGATTTTTTGCTATCAAATAATAGCCGAAATGTTGCATAGAATATGGTAAACCATTATAATTCCAATCTATTTTTTGCATACACGTGAAGTGTTCTGGATAATAATCGACTTTTGGTGAAATAGATGCAATTTGACCCAGTATATGTAAAGAAAGAGTATCGAAAGGTTGATCAGATGAACAACCAGGTGAATTTAACAATTGGAAAGCACGTTCCATTCCAGTCATTCCAGTATATTGATCCGGTAAAGGATGAGAAGTTATTGCATGTAATAATGCCAAGTAGAGCCATCCTGTTGGGCTATCATTTGATTGCAGTATGCGTAATCGATCGTTCAAAATAAAAACAAAATAATGATGAAGAAATTCTTTTGATGAAGTAGTTCGTTGTATTGTAACAGTTTGATGTCTATTGTACTGAGTCTCTTCACTATGAATCTTTCCGAAAGGTACAATTAACTTCCGGGATGGATAATGATTGAATTTATGATTGTTAACGGGCAATGGTGATAAGAGAAGACCAGATGTTAAACCGTTTAATGTTCCGAACCACTGATCGTCATTGATACACATATCTGGATATTCACGAGACGTAATTATGTTCGTTTCAGTATTGTATTGAAAAGCAATCATTAAACGAGATAAATAGATAGAAATGACTCCATTCGCCTGAGAACCAAGAACTCGCATCATGTAAACATAGGGCTTATCGTCAAGACGACTAAAATATCGTAAAAATAAATCTTGAAAGAATGAAGATGATTGATTGATTAGACGTTGCATATTTCCAGTCTGCTCGGTAGTAATATATCCTGCATTCATTGTTAAGATATAGGGTTTATCTTTTAAAAAATTCATATCTTTAAAACAAACAGGTCGAAACTCGATGATTTGATCTTCTATGCTTAACCAATGACTATAATTAGAGACAAACATATCTGGTAGTTCAGACTCGAAATATTTCTGAGAAATCAATTGAAATATATTGTTGGTCTGCATGTGTCGTTCTTTAATTATTAAATCTTTAGTTTGATCGTTGAAACAAAATTCATATAGTACTCTTTCATCACCATGATACGAATGCTTCGTTATATAAGTATTTGGTGACTCTGCAGCTTGAACTTCAAAGATATGTTGACCGAATACACGTATAAATAATTCATTGAAGATAATTTTCTCAGGTAAAAATCCAATAGTCATACCGTCGATTAAAAGAGTTCCTTTAATACAATCAATTGATATATATTTTGATTTATATTGACAATCGTACCAACCATCAAATGAATATTTTGTTCGTTTTTTCCATTTTGCATTCATAATACCTTCTCTCTTCAAAATTGCCCAATAAGTCACCACAAACTCGTTTAAACCTTGATATGCTGTTTTTTGAAGAAATTTTGCAACTATTGGTTGTATCCTTACTAAAACACGTTCACTATATCTCATCATATTTACCATAAAAGTACTCATATTAGATTGCTGTTTGCTTAAAATAATATTATCATGAACAGTAGTTGCTGCTTTGAGTAGAGATACGATATGCTCATTCGATGACAATACATAACGAATTCGACCTCCGGCCGCTGAAAATGTTAAAATAGAGCAAACGCCAACGTTTATCAATTTAAGACGAAGATTTTCTACTTCATCAAATGCTAATGGAGATACAGTTTGAATAGATTCTATAATCAGATCAATCCATTTTTCACCGATTTTACGACATTTTTTAGCCAAACGAGCAACTTGATTTTCTTTGGTTGAATTACAAATAGTTAATATTCTCATTGTAATAACTGTAATAACCATCAAGACTAAGTCATTCTGCCAATTTGATTCACAATCATCTAAACGACGATTTAGTCTTGTTATTAACTCATCGATAAAATGATCTTCTAATAACTGTTCATGAGATTCTGGACACCAGGCTGTAGACGATGTACTGTTATCGGCTGTCAATGGTCCATGCTGTAATATTGAATGTATAATTAGTATTGCTACACTTTCTTCAGCAATTGATAAAGAGTCCATTTCCAAAATTGTTAAAAGATTCCACCATTGCAAACGATGTCCTGATCGAAACGAGCCGAATTCAACAAACTGTGATGGTTTTAATCGTGCAGAACAATCAGAAAGTTGAGCGATAACATGATTTTGTATGAATTCTGTTGTGTTTAATGTAAATTTCAACTGTTCGTAATCTGGATGATCGAGTTGAGGTGTTAATATGCAGCACTCATCTTCGAATTCTATCGGATTAACTGGCGAAATTTCAACAGTTAAGCTGTTTTCAAATAAAAAATCTCCGACAGGTGTGGACTGAATCGATGGCGGGGAGGAATAATGGGTTTGAGTGATAGATTTGGTAGGTGATACTAATTGAACTTGACAGTTTTTAGGAGCGATATTAAACCATTCCAGTTTATTATCGTGAGGAGAGATATTTAACCACTCATACATGGATCTTCCTGGTTTTGTCTGAGCACGATTTATAAATTGCCAAAGAATTTCTCGATAACATCTGATTTCAATAGGCATTTGTAATTCAAAAATAACAGCTAATGCGCTCTCGCATTTCAATGGCATTGGACATTCGAAAATTTTCACTTGAATTGCGTTTGCTTGTTTTAGAATTTTACATCGCGGACATTTTTTCCAGTGACGATTGTTACGAAATTCACAAGAAGAACTGTATACCTTTACCATTAGCTCTGTATATTTTTGTTTTGCATTGTTCACTTCGTTGATTTTATTCTCCATGTCCTGTGCTGCCTGGTTTCGAATTCGGCTTATGCTATCATTCATTGCCGGTGAGCGAGTAGCAAACTTTACACCGAAAGAGTTCCGAGACTCTATCTCATTTAAAAGATCGGGGCATGGCTTTTGACGGAAATCATTAAAATAATGGTGAAGATAACTTGCTCTAATCATATCTTCGCGATTTGGTAAGACTAAAAATTCGAACAGAGCCATTAGATTAGGAATATTTATGGAATGCTGTTTTAGTTGTTCGAATCTTTCATCCAGACATAGATTTTTATGCATAGAATAAATAATAGCCAATGATGTTAGAATAAATCGACTATAACCTAATGGATCCGTTGGACCTTTTTCTGAATAATAATAATTTATCGCTGCATTCTGATATTTTTCAAATAAATTAAATAACGTTTCGAAACGACCCTTTCCATTTATAAATAACGCTGGACGGTTAATCCATTGCTCTAAACAGAATTCAATCCAAATTTCTATAAAAACCAGCGCTACTCCAATCGTACAGTTCATCTCTGTTGTTAGTACATCATATGAAGGTATATAATCATCTTGATTAATATCAGTAGAATCGTCATAGTTTTTTATACTTGTAAATAATCCGGATATTTCATTGGTATAATTATTACTCAAATACGCTTTCAATTTTACCAATGAGTGTTGATAAGTTTCATTATTGTGCAGTGATAAATTGTTTCTTTTTACAACTTCATTCCATTGTTCATTAGTCTTAATCGTATTTTGCAAATTTGATCGTGGAATAATTTGGTTAATTTTACGTTCGATTTCTTGTTTTGTCGATATAATCCATGTATTTAGATGCTTTGAATTGATAGACAATAACAATTTTTCGATTTTATTTAATCTACGTACAATTTTTTTAATACAATGAATTAATAAATCAGTTGAAATTTTTGTCGTGTATATGATATATGTGAGGAAATGAGTTATCAATAATTTATAAACTACAGTACCAATATCTTTTAAACGTTTGACTAAAATCGTATGTAACACTACTTTGATGGTCATCCATAATCCTGAACGTCGAAAAGGTATTTTAGCTTTGTTCCATCGGATCTGATCTCGATGCTTTTTTTTAAACGAAATAGTTGCATCGGAATGTTTTTCGATTTGTATCCCATTAAATTGTTGAATCCACCATTGACATACATAATGTGATTGTGGCACATCACGTATCTCATCAACTTTCTGAGAAGCTTTGTAAGATTTGGAATACTCAATTGTATTATACATGAAATCCATTAATAATTCACAATGAACTGTTGATGTCAGTTCGGATCGATCGCATAATCTATAAGTTGTTACTGGAAAATGAGAGAAATGAGGCATAAGAGAAGAAATAATGGATTCGGTAGATAATAAAACTTCCCAAGCTGATATAATTGGTTGATTACTATTATTTTCACCTATTTCAATTAAAATTGCAGCATTTTGACCATGAAAATAAATGGGAAGAAAGTGTCCTAATGGTAATTGCTGAATAGTCGATTGTATATTCGACATAATGAAGTTTTGAAAACCCTGTAAACGACACCAGCGTTCAATACAATCCATAAGAATTCGAAATATTGGTATATCAGTCCAAGTATTTGAATGAAAATATTGATTCATGCATTCTAATATATTGTGTTCATTTTGATGGTCACCTTCAATCAAAAAATCATCGTCGGCTGATGAAGGTAAGTAATGTGGAAGAAACAAATGATTTATAATTGAATCATTCATTTCTAAGAATTGGTATTATTGAGAAATCTATTTGTTGACAGGCTATATATATAACATAACATTATCAGACAACAAACAATGGTAGAAAACCAAGAAAGGATTATCATTTCCTGAATCCTCGAAAATCTTTTACAGTCAGTTATATTTTACCAACGAGTAATCGAATAAACTTTTATAAAACTTGACAAAGTTTGTTCTCTGTAAAAAATTCGCCGAGTTATTTTTCTCAGTTACTTAGAAGTATGGCGAAGAAAGAGAACTAATTTTTTTAGAAACTTATAGATTCTGGGTTACTGATAAACACAGTTATTTTACTAGACAATAACTCATTTGCAATCTGTCAGGTAATTTTAAGACTGTTAACTATCCGATATTTTTTCAATAGATGTCAATTTCAGTTATTATGTTGCAGCCTTTAGATAAGAAATCTATAGTAGAATGCAAATACGCTACAGATTTTGAGAAGTTCTATAATCTACTCTTTGTACTCTATACTAGCATTTATTTACTCACAGTATACTTCTTATTATTTAAATCACTATTTTCTACTCATGTTCTGGCTGCGCTTCAAGGGTTATTCATACTGAATTTGCTAGCATCAGACTTTGAAAACCGATGGATTGACTCATTTTCCATGTCATCGAAAACGAGACGATTTTGGGCATTTCGAAAAACCCCTATGTGAACTTGTGATTAATCGTGTTAATCACTGGTTTTCGTTAACGATCTCCAATTGTCAGTTAATTAGGCAAGTATTCAAAGATGCAGAGGATCGAGAGTCAAACGCAATTTCTACAGGTTTTTAGCACTATCATACGAATTCAAAAACAAAATTATTTTCTAATGAAACTCACCACTATAAAGTGAATGAGAAGAAAAGAATATTTTACCTTTCGACCACCTTGCGACAATGATACTAAAGAAAAGAAGAAGATAGTGCATAATGCATCTACAGAATAGATGTGGAGATAGATAGATAAACATTTTCTTTTTAAAGTAATGCGAGATATGTTTCTTTTTTATGAGTCAGAGAGGTTACTTCATTTTTATGATTCTTTATTTTGAATAACATGCTTACTTTAACTACACCACTCTCGATACTGATAGACAAAGGCATCAAGCTTCGTATGTTACTTACGAAGAAACCTCCCCAAGTGATACCTCTGTTTGAGCTCATATTTTGCTCATAGGTAGGGCTCGTAGTGTAGATAAAAACCCTAAAAGGATTCGTCCCATTAGCTTGTTCCTGTCGAGTTGTAGAAATTTTAGTGAATTTCCCTTATAGGATCCCATTTTCTGAGTCATATCATATTCTGGAATTTCGACCTGAAACGTTGTCTAAATGAAGCTCTCAACTAGGCTAGCTTTCAAAAAAAATTTCGGAAGTTTTTCATAAAGTCTCTCCGAGCTGTCAATTTCTCAAGTTATAAGCGTTTTTCCATAGATACTATATAAAACATGCATCTTTTGTAAACTCATAACTCGGAGAGACTTTGCCCAAAATTTCTGAAATTTTTTTTGAAAGCTAGCCTACCTCAGATCTTCATTTGAGCAAAGTTTCAGATCGAAATTCCAAAATATGATCTGACTCGAAAAATGGGATCCTGTAAGGGAAATTCACTAAAATTTCTATATCTCTATAGGAACAAGCTAATGGGACGAATCCTTTTAGGGTTTTTATCTACGCTATGAGCTCTACCTATGAGCAAAATATGAGCTTAAACAGAGGGTATCACTTGATGAGGTTCCCTCGTTAGATTAAAAGATTACTGATCGCGGACTAATATCTACTACATGGAAAGAGAGATTACTATAGAACTGCATACACTGTACTGCTTATTATAGTATCCGAATGAAAATCTGTGAAACGAACACGTTCGTACGTTTTTTTACAAAATAGGTGAAAATATATAACACAACACAAGAATTCTAAAATGATGGAAAAGATAGTAAATAAAAAACAGTGCACTACCAAATAAAGTAAACATAAGAAAAACAGCCAATCATGTCTGTGATAACAGCATGACGTTTCAGAGGTACAAAGAATACAATAAATATCACATACGAACTAGTTACCGTCAGCGAACGACATCTATTGATATTAGTAATTAATTCTTCAAGTGAGTCTGTATCTTATTCGCACGCACACCAATATGTAGCAACTAGTAACATGATAATACGCATTATACATTTTCACCCTAGTAAACAGATCATTCAATCAGGAAAATAGTACAAACAGGAATATATATATAACAATTTTCTTTATACGTAGCACATCAAGGATTTTATCGAAGTATTGGTATATTAATATTTGGTTTGTTGAGGGTGTCAGATAAAGAAAATTCTTACAGCCATACCCTCAAGATAGTATAATGTATGTCTCTTATTGTCCAAATCGATCACCAGTCCTGAAGCTGCATGCTTGCCAATGAAAGAAAGAACAAAGAAAATGAAAATAAGAATAAAATACGAATAAATAAACAGAAAAAGCGAAAAGAATAAAAACAAGATAAAAGAAATAAAAAGAAAAAAATAATTGCAACGAACGTAACAAAACGGAAGACAATCTATTTTTTACCACGGAAAGGGTCATTTCGGTTTTCTCGAATGAATAATAATAGGAAGAATAACACAACTGCTTTATTACTAGTTTTCATCCCATCATAGATAACAACATCGATGAAATAGCAGCGGCATCAAGTTGCAACGTGACGTCGTAATCAAAGAATATGGTCTTTTATTGGCAAAATGAGAGAAGTAATCTGACTTATATATAAAGTTAAACAACTCCACATTCGTAAACCTACCGCAATTTTTTTATTCTGTATCAGCAGTATATACAAAGTAAAATATTATTTAAGCTGTTTATAATAGAATGGCACATAGATCAAATAGTGTTTGCATATCAACAAAGACTTATCTTTATAAGTAGTCATTACTGAATGAAAGTATAGATCGAATAATACGTATATATTTCAACTACACACATTCACCCCAAGTGTAAGAAATTTTTTCTGAAATAAGTATCGTTTGAAAATATCAAGAAACTTATATTCTACCTTTAGATGAAATTGTAAAAGATTCGATAAAAGATCATTTTATTTTGAATGTATTTTTTGATTAGCATTAAAAAGATATACAAAACAGTGAAGATTTTCAAAAACAAGAATAAATCATCAGTCAATAAAGATTAAAAAGTAATTTACTAGGTAAATTTATGGGTCATCGTTATCTTTAGAGAAGTGTGAGTGAGCGAAAGATATCCACACTCTCGCGATAGTTTGTTCTTTCGATTTCGAATCTGTACGTTTTTATCTTTTTCTATTGTAATACGACGATAAAAAGAGTCACACCTATTATAAAAGCACGTGGGATTGTTCGTTCATACTATTTTTTATCGTTTATACACCTTAATTTTGTATCTGTTCTTTCTTTTGTTGTGTGTGATACTTTATACATGTGTCTACATGGTGATACTAAATCATTTTTATCCATCGTCGAAGTATGTCAGACTCTCGTAGCTATCGTGTAATTATTATTGGTGGTGGTATTATTGGTTTAACAACAGCATGTACACTTCTGAAAGAATATACATCGATTGACAAACTTCAATTGACAATTATCAGTACGACATTCTCACCGGAGACAACAGGTGATGTTTCAGCCGGGTATTGGGAGCCATACGGCGTGAGCTTAAACGATGAACGGATGTTACGTTGGGCTCGTTATACTTATGATATATTTATGCAAGAATTCTTTTCAACAAAAGCTGCTCAAGCTGGTGTTATGCAAATGCCTGGTCACATCCTAAAAAGTCAAAACGATCAACAGATAAGTGAAAATGATGATGCTACCGTTCCTTCATTTTTACCACTTGTTCGACACTATCGAGTGTTGAAGGATCCTGAAATACGTATGTTCGATCATTTGGGACCGGTTACGGGCTTTGTCATGTCATCAGTAGTTACCGAGGTTCGACGATATCTTCCACAACTGCAACGCTTTCTAGAATGTGACTCACGAGTGAAATTCGTCAAGAAGAAAATACATTCATTTAGTGAACTCAAAGGCGAAGCAGATATTATAATTAACTGTACTGGTTTGAGTGCTAGAGAACTAGCAGGTGATCTTACTATTCGACCAGCACGAGGACAAGTGAGACAAAATAACTTTTTTTGATTTTACAAGATTTAATCAATGTTTAGGTTATTCGAGTTCATGCTCCATGGATCAAAGCAGTGTATTATTTTGAGACAGTAAATGAAGGCGTAGGTTACATCGTTCCACAATCTGATACTGTGGTGTTGGGTGGTACATTTCAGTTAGACGACTGGAATACGACACCAACAGAACAAGATACACGTCATATACGTCGTATGTGTGCAAAAATTCTGCCAGCTCTCGAACAAATACAAGATGGTATTGAACAAGCTGGTTTACGACCCTATCGAGACGGTGGTGTTCGTCTCGAACATGAAAGAACTATGGACGAAATCGATATAGTACATTGCTATGGTCATTCCGGTGCAGGGATTACATTGTCATGGGGTTGTGCCAAAGATGTTGTCGAAATCGTAAAGACTCTATTACCAGTTTACGAACAACATTCATCAGATTTACCAGAACACGAACAATTATGGCGTCTAGTTCTATAAATTCGCATTTTGAACAAACTGTTTTACTGATTATTATCAAGAGATTTTATCTTTTTTTTTCTTCTTATTGTATTATCCCCGTATATTCTTGAAAAGATATTAGAATTATGCTTTATTATTAGAGTTATAAGAATAACTTATTAATATCATGGTTAATAGTGAGCAAGACTAAAAATACAACATAAACGATTAAAATATAGTTTTTAGAAGCGCACTTTGGTCAATAATAAATAAAATTGTTTCGTTTCCTTTTATTGGTTATTTAATTTTGATGATGATTAAACAGAAAATTGAATAAGCGGTTTACCTAGAAAAAACAAAATGAATTAACCGATAAATATGATATTATAATAACCTGGTGTAATATCTTCTGAATTATTAATATTTACTGCATCATCAGTTTTCATTATATGTAATTCATTAAGTTTTAATTCTCGTTGAATATATTGTTGATTATCATTGAGAATTTCATATTCATTAAATGTTAAATGTCGATCTAATATATGAATATTATTATTTGCCTCGTTAACTAATGTTTGACAATAGGATACAAAAGGCATTATTTTTTTAGTATATTTTGTATCAATTCCTTTTAGATTTGTAAAATGTGATGCTAAGGTTTTCGTATCTGGAAATGATGAATTTTCTTGACAAATATTTTTTAATTCATTAATAATGAATGTTTGCCATTGAGGATAATTAGCGGCAACATAAATAGTTGCCTTATTGTGATCTTTAAATTTTTTTGATCGAGTACGAAAATCATGTACAGTATCTAAAAGATATTCACAAGAATCAATTAATGATTGATCAATTTCACCAGCTATGGGCCATTTAGCTTCCATAATTGATTTATTTGGATATAATAATTGATAAACATAATCACAAATATGTGGACATATTGGTGATAGAATAAGTGCTTGAATTTCAATAAAATGTTTCAATAATGGAATATTTAATTGTTCAGTTTCCGAATAAAGTTCACGATAATTATCTCGACTTTTTTGAAGTTGAAAGAAACCATGTTTCAATACTTCTTTATATAACATATTGTCATAAGCTTCTTCAGTATGTTTAATTGATTGATTTATTTCACTTTGAAAAACACGATCAAAATAATTCATCGCTTTATTTTCATCAGTTGATTCCTATTTAAAATGAATTTTAGTTAAAATAAAAAACTATCAGCATAATCTCTGCAATGGCGGAGCTAGGATTTTGGGAGAGGGGAGAGGGGCTGTACCTGGGGAAGTGATTTTGGCTAAAACCTATTTTTTGAGTCCAATCGAAGTAGTGTAAATCTATTTTTTCGGTCTTTTTTGCTGTAGAAAATCAAGAAAATTTTCTGAAGACGAGGGGGGAGGCGATGAGGGCGATCGCCCCCTACCCCCTCTAAATCTCTATGAGGAAAGATTCACTTAGATATTTGTAATATATCGTTGCTAAAGATGATGATAGTAGAGGGGAGATCAGATTTTATACTCCTTTGCAATTACGACCCAGTTTAGTCCGCCGACATATTCTCAAATGTATTATATGATTTTCTTACTTGAACATTTGATTGATTCGTTGTTTGTGAAGAGGACATAGCCACAATCTCTTTGGCCCATTGAATAAATGTATGGAGACGAAGAAGTTGAGCTTCAGCATTTTTTTCATCAAAATTTGCATCTTCAATTGAATCTCCAGCATCAGCAAGAGTAAGACGCATACCTAATTTTAATTAATTAATTAATAAATATTCATATGAAAAAAAAATAGTATACCATCAGCAGAAAATCGTTCAACAGCTTCTATTAAAGTCATAAAATTGCCTGTTGATTTAGACATCTTTTTAGCAAAAAGCAAAGAAATACATTTTTTCATTCAAATAAAAAACTTAATGATTACCTTTTCACCATTCAAAAAAAGATGTCCCTTTGCACGAAATGCTTCTGGCCATCGATTTTCTTCTTGATTTGGCCAGATAGCAACATGATTATATAGAGAATAAGTTAAATGATTTGGTATAAGATCTTTTCCACTTGATCGTAAATCAACAGGATACCAATATTGAAATTCATTTCGAAGAAGATCAAGTGTTTCTTTTGAGATATTTGTTTTTAATGAACTATATGATCTATCAACGAAAAATATATAATCCCATATATCAATTGGCATTTCTGATGGATTTATATTGGCAAGACCTTGATAAATCAAAACATTGTTAGACATCTGTACTGTTTATAATATAAATAAGACTCACCAATTTTTTTTCCATCAAATGAATCTTGTTGTTGAAGAAGATGAGCTACAGTATAATAAGCCATATAAATCGTTGAATCAGAAAGAGATTCAATAAGATATTGTTTATCCCAAGGAAGTTTTGTTCCTAGACCATATGAACGAGAACATGCATGTTCATGAAGCCAATCAAATACACCTTCGAAATTTTGACGTGTGTCATCACTAAAAACATTAAGTTGTTGTAGGACACGACGTGCATCATCTTTCCATTCTTTATTTCCATAATCTATAAATCATTGATCACATAAAGCAACAACACATTCATCACCGGAACGTGATTTAATCTATTCGAAATGAAAATAAATTGTTCATTAACAATGGTTTTTTCCTCATCAAATATAAGTATATAAACCATGAAAAGAAAAATATTGTTGTATTCTTAACAATATGCTAAGAAATAATTCAAAATGATCAGTGCATCTGTTTTATTTCAACATCTTATCAAACGATGTAAGTCAGCAATGAAAGTTCCTGGAACAACTCTTGTAGATGCAACGATACAATCATCTATAATTAATGAAGAAATCGAGGTACAACGGAAAAAAACACGTGACCTATAAAAATGAACTACAATGTGATGATTATGATCGTATCGAAAATGAAATATATGAATGTTTCGATGCTCTTGTTAATGATGCAAGAGAAATAATGATTGGATTAGATTCTATATCTTCATTACAACATGTTTTAATAACTTCAATGAGAATTTGTATTGAATCAAATTTTAAACTGGAAATTCGTACTGGACTTGGTGGAACAAGTGATTCACTTACTTTGCGTACACCATCTTATGCTGTTGCAGGTATTGATCTATTACGTCGTCTAATACAACTGCAAAAAAAATTTGAACAACCTCCAATCACTCAAGAAAATATTCCAACAAGAATATTGAATAGTCCTCCAGTACTGACATTTTTCAGTGCTTGGACAGCTGCAGTTCGAGTAAATAATCTCGATGCTAATATTGGTAGAGAACATGCACGGAAGATGTTATCATATATAAAAAAGTATATTGATAATTATCATCCAAACTTAACTCAACATATTCGATATGAAATGGATCATGAAAATACTTATGAAGATACATTATTAAATTATATTATTGCTCATTATGTTCATAATTATACAGATCAACAGATAAGACAACAATTGATTACTCAAGCAATAAGTCGTGGTAGTAATGAAGATGGTTCTACTAGATATACATCAATGCACTTAATTATATTCAAAGATATAATTGATAAGCAATCTTCACAACAATTATTTCATTTATTAGATGAAACTCAAAATAATGAATCAACATGTTTATATGATTGTGTAATTACAATCGGTGGATCAGTTGAAAAACGATTTAATGAAGTACGTTATGCAATTCGACAAGTTTTTATCAATGATCCAGAATTAGGTAAAGAACAGTATCATTTTCCTTTATCAATTCGAATGTTATCACATGCTGGACAAACTCCTGTATATTATCATCATAGACCATATGAAATTACAGTTGATGATATTTTAAATAGTCATATTACTGATATAAATATATCTCATGACATATATCGTGGTATTAAAGAAGATCTGTCAATATTAATAGAAGATATTGGTATAAGTGAATTGAAATCAATTTGTACTCATATACATAATTTAGGATCACATGATATATCATCATGGAAAAATACTGTATCAACTTTAATTGATTCATGTTTAGATATTTGACGAATTCATGCAAGAGATAATAGAATATGTCAATGTTTAATAGAGAATAAAACGGCAGTTGAACAAATATGTGAACATTATCAATTATCAAATGATCTTAATAGTGCTGGATGTGTAATTCTTAGTTGTATTTTAGAAGAACTGGAGAATAAAAATCATATTCATTTTGGTGAACGTAATACAACAAATCGCCGCCGTAGTAATAGTATATGTACAAATAGAGAAACAACGGATACAATTATTCATAAACTTGATGATGTACTAAGTCAAAGACTTATTGAATTTATTCGAAATCAAATTTTCTAAATAATAATATCAAAAAATTGTCTTCACTTTTCTTTCTATTCTCGAAATAAACTTTGTCTATGAGGAACATCATTAAATATCTCACACTGTTAATCAAAATCAATGAATACTCCGATATGTTTAGGTAAGATAGCAAGTCTCATTGAATGTCCACCAGCATTGACTTGAGGACCACCATCACTAAATGTAACATATTGCATTAATCGAGCTGTAATCACTTTCAGTTCAAATCGAGCAAGATCTTGCCCGATACATTGTCGATGACCACCACCAAATGGAATCAATGCATAAAGATGATGATTTTTGTCTTCAGCTAGGAATCTTTCAGGATAAAAGATTTCTGGATCGATCGACCAATATCGAGTATCATGTGCGAGATTATAAAACGGAATCATCACTGATTCACCTTTGAATAATTGAACATTAGTTGCAGGTAATCGATCATCTATAGTTAATGTACGAATCGTACCAGTAGCAGGTGGAATAAAGCGGAGTACTTCATTGATAACACAATCCAAATAGGTTATAGAATCGAGATGATCTAATGATAAATGCTGGCGACTATTATTATTCATTAATTCTGTTTTGATCTTTTGTTGTACTTCTGGATGTTTACTCATCAGATAAATGAACCAAGATAAGACTGATGATGTTGATTCAAAGCCAGCGACTAAAAAAGCTACCATTTCATCCACAACTTCACTTCTTGATAGTCCTATCAACAGACAAGCAAAAAAAAAGAATCAATGTTTAGTATCATTCAAATCGAATTATTTTGTGTTGCTTCATACCTTTTTTCTGTTCTTCCTTTTTCATTGCTTCTGATTTTTCATTCGTTTGTAAAGATCCAACTAATGAAGAAATTAAACATGTTCGCTTTCGTTGTACGATCAATTCTGGATTAGTCTCTTGTTCATGTTCAATTATTTTATAAATATATTGTTCGATAACTTTTCGTGCTTTTCGTTGTCGATAATTGAGATTTACATAAATCTTAGCTATTATTCTAGGCAAACAGAGAACTGTCATGATACTATTGATTACGTCTCGTAATGCTTGAGTGAGTTCAATATCGTTTGACATACTTTCATCATTGAGTGTTTCCAAATCATAATTAAATCCAATAAATCCGAAAATAGCAAGTAAAAGATTTTGACATTGATCAACAATATCGATATGAATCAATTTTGGATCAGCTTTACGCCATTTTGACAATAATTTATCCGTACAATCAATAATCAAATCTAAATTCGAAATGATTTTACCTCGTCGAAATAAAGGTAAAGTAAGTGAAATATGTCGTTTGAATTTAGAGCCTATAAAGATTATGCTATATATTGAAATAATAATCGAATAGAAACTCATGACAAACCTTTAGTAGAAACAAGACTTTCAGAATAGCTTATACTAAATTTATCGATAAATATATCACCTTGATCATAAATATTTCTATGAGTGAATATATGTTCGACGTCAGTAATATTGTTTACAATAATAAATCGGTAAGGACCGAACCAAAATTGAAAAATATCACCAAAACGTTTTTTGAATGTTGTTAAAATGTAAGGTGGAGATTCACCTTTGAAAAAACCTGACTGAAGTAAATTTCCAAATAGAAAGTGTGGTGATAAACCGGGTATAGGACCATGAAAAGTAAAGTATTTTTGTTTGAAATAGAATACCAGTAGAACAATAGTAATAAATAAAAGTATAAAAATCATATTTTTTTATGACGTTGTCAACGAGAGTACGCTTAAGAAACAAACAGCCACGTGCTTCATCATTTTTCTTTTTCTTTCTCCATTACACATCGCCATAACGTTGTTTGATAGGTTTTGTTATTCTTTTTTCTTTCTGTATGTAAACCATATCTCATTCATTTTTTCTCTGTTCATAGGAATCAATATTTGTGGTCAAATTTCAATATGTTATTTGCAATAAACTATACTATTTGATTATTCGTTAGAATAGTAATAGATGCCATCTTTCATTCTATGACTCTCATTGATGAAAAAAATCCGCTAATACATTTTTTTATCCCTTTTCTCTTTATATCTATATATAACCAAGCAGAACAGAGCTGTCGTTAGTCTGAAGAAGTACCAACATTGTACATACAGGAAAGAGAAAAAACTCTAATACAAATTGATGATTCATTGCATCGATACCAACGTGGTGTCACATTTTATTTTCTTGCAGAATATTTTTTTACTATACTCTAATGTCGTGTTGGAGTCGTAAGAAAGTTTACAAGCCGTGTAATGATGGACATCGTAAAATTGTTATTGTTGGTGATAGCGATTGTGGTAAGAATTTCTGTTTTTTCCATCTTTTTCATGAATTAATACCATGGACATTCAAAGGTAAATCTTGTTTATTGCAAGCTATTAATGGACAAAAATGGTCTGATCCGTATACTAGAACCTTCGTCGATAGTTATGTTGTTGAAAAATTTATCAATGAACAAAAAGTGAAAATAAAAGCTAGTCAATATATTGACTTCAATATTTTTTCTATCGATTATAGTTTGAGCTGACTCTGCTTGATACAAATGGATCAGAAGAATACGATCGACTTCGACCACTTTCATATCCAATGACAGATATATTTATCATGTGTTTTGCTATCGACAATCCTGAGAGTTTCAAAAACGTCTCTGAGGTGTGTCGGTTTTTTTTTAGAAACTTATGTTTGTTAACACATGATTTATTTCCTGTACAGAAATGGTTACCCGAATGTAAACATTTTTGTCCACTTGCTTCGATCGTTCTTGTTGGTAAGTAAGACATTATGAATAGTTATTTGTTTATTGATCTTTATAGGCAACAAAAAAGATTTGCGAGATGACCAGACAATAGAAAAAGAACTAGTTCGATACAAAGAGTGTCAAAAAATGGCCAGAACGATCGGTGCCGTTCACTATGTGGAATCTTCAGCAAAGACAGGAGAAGGTTTTCTTGAAATAAAGATGTATAATTAATTTTCTCTGTCGTATTTACTTAGGTATTTGTGAAATAACAAAATATGCAGCATGTTACACTTCGCATAAACCTGCGATAAAATAATGGATCAATCTCAATCCAAAGTTCAACTATGTACATGATGTTTCCGTGGATTTTATTCTGACACTTTTTATGCAGTATATTGCTCGAATGCTTTATTTTTGTTCAAATAATAAAATAATTTATTGTTAATTCATCTCCTATATGATTTGTAAGATTATTCATCACTTGGCTTGATAAAAATGTGCATATCATATGATAATTATTGAGAAATAATGCAAATTTTATCTCTTAACACCACAATTAAAATGTTGTAATGGTATGTAATTGTCAACAGTCCTGTTTGCATTTTTGAATCGGCTCATTTTTTGTTTTAGAATTCACTGATGTTACTTAGATGAAATAAAAACTAAGACAATTTTATTTATTCTATTTTTGCTTTTAGTTTCATTCATTTAATTATTTACTTATTTTATTTCTAAATTTTGCTAGTATTTAATTTTAAATCACTTGATGTCTTTCTTTAATTATTCCTTCGTATTTATTGTAATATATTCAAATAAATAGATTTATGCAAATTTATATTTATTTTTAAACATTTTCACTAATATTAGTAATATTTTCTTTAGTCTCCAGTGTGTCGTAATGATGAATACCATATTTTTTTCTTAATTCATATAATAACGTACGATTGAATGGACAATCTGATTTTATACTCCCATCAGGTTTACGTTGACTTCTCCATGCTCCACGTTCATGAATAACTTCGTCGACCCAAAAATGATAACAACCAAAAGGAACACCTTCTGCTCGATCTGTAGTAAGACTGCAAAATTCTTTATCTTTTTCACACATTTCAATATATAATTTTCCATCTGTTGCTAAGTTTTCTATTGGATTCACTGGTATAGAAAAGCCATCCATAATCATTTTGGCTGCTTCTCGAATAAGTCTTACTACTTGTTCTCTTTTTATTCCATTAGGTCGTTCATTGATTGGATAATAGAGGCCTTTAAGATAAGGTGCACCAGAAGTCATATATTGTTCCATATATGTTGTAAAGGATATATT